AAAGTAAACATTACACATTTGGTAACAACTCTTGATTCAATTAGAATATTTAATAGTACAATAGTTAACACTACGATAGGTGACAGTGCAAGAGCTCACCAAAAAAGATCATTCGAATGTAAATTCTACAATATCAGTTATAACCCGTAGTATCAGTACAAGAAAACTAGCAGCTGTATTACAACCAGAGTAAATAATAACAACTTGATCTGGAACAATTCATATTTTACGGTCTTCAAATTCTCCAAATTAATGTCCTCTTCTAGTCTTAGTGTTGGATAAAGATGTATGTTTGACAATGTTTGATTGGCCTCATCAACCCATCTGAAGAAATTGCAATTGTCTTTTGTCCTATTGTGAGGGAAACTATAAAATCTTCGGCCCCGATTCTCACTTCGATATGTTTTATATATAATGCATTGCAAGTTGCAGTAACAAAATATTTGTGTCATGTTCATGCTTGTAGATCCTGTCGAATATCTAAAAGTCATCCTACAATAAGGCTAAGAGACAAAGAAATGCAACTTTAGAACATCTTCATATAAGAATATAACAAATTAGTTCTACACAGATGGGAGACAGTGCAGCAAAAGCATCAATTAACAATTCTTGTGAATTCACCAACGAACGATTGGAGACCATTATTGAGACTAAAGAATCAAACCGAGCAATCGGACTCAGATGCAAGCAACATTTTTCTACAGAGATTAGATTATAGAAACAACAACAATATGGGTTGCTTCTCCTACTGTCGACACTATGGCCATCCAATGATCCCATCAGATGTGGGCCTTGGTTGCAACATAGATCATCCAGTTAGAGAGCCGTCCAATAGAAATCAAGCTCATTTTCATCATTTTTAGAACTAGCGTAGCACAACTCAGATGTTATATTTTCCTCACAACTCCATCACAGCTCAATACACTGAAGTAAAACCAAGCAATGATCCATCCCAGTGAAATAAAGCCCACCGATGACCCATCCCACCAACTGGAGAACATAATAAGCCAATGTAGGTATTATATTTCCCTCATAACTCCAATAAACTAAAAAGCATAAGTCGTAAGACCAAAAAGACGATTACAGAGGGCTATCTCTAACAAGTATTCCATCTAATTTCCTCACAAATGCAGCACAACAACACAGTAAACCAACACATGATTTGCAAAATTCTCATGCAGTAAAAAATTTCTCATGAAAGCCACCCAACAAACCAACGACAAGCAAAAATATCATGTAAATCAAACAACATAAGTCGTAACTCAACAAAGATGAAAATAGAGGTGTTCTCAAACTAGTATTCCATCCAACTTTGACCTTTGAACCAACAAGCAAAAATGACTTTGTCAAGAAGTAGATCTCACCGGCCAAAGAATGACATAGCTATAGCAAAATTTATGGCATAAATCATGACAAGGACTCAAAACTTACGGACAAGTAGAACGACGACAAAGGAGGAGCATCAATAGAATGATGAAGGAGTTTTCACGCAAAAAATTGACGGCGAATAGGTCGAAGGAGATGATCATTCGAGCGACTGGGGGCTGACACGCGCACAAGTGACAGAGATGGAATAAAGTGCGGGATATGACTATATGAGCGAATTAGAAGTTTTTCACGCAAAAAATTGACGGCGAATAGGTCGAAGGAGATGATCATTCGAGCGACTGGGGGCTGACACGCGCACAAGTGACAGAGATGGAATAAAGTGCGGGATATGACTATATGAGCGAATTAGAAGTTTTAAACCATATGAAGGAATTCATAAATGCTGCAAGTGAAGAGATACATTAGTCCCTACTGCAGATAATCTTATGTAGTCATGCATCGTATATCCAGTGTGTTATTTCATTACACTCCAATTAGAGTTTACCACTAACTATTCTGTGAAGGCTTATCTTACTGATGATGAAACGATAAATGTTAATGATGTGCAAATCAAGACTGGTAAAAAGGCTATGTGGATATGTGAGGCAAACTCCTAGCTTAAGGAGCAACCAGATCTCAATTGGGAAGCAAGGTGAAGAAGGTTATATCTCAACTTTTTGTACTAACACTAGAAGGTTATCAAGAATGTTATTATAATTGCATATTGAAGGATGATACCATATACATGATATCAAATAAAGAAATGATGGGACTAAGAGAAAAAATTGTGAAATCAATTGAGAATGATTCTAGAGCACTGTGAAACTATGCTTCTATCAAGTGGGGACTTAAAAAGGATGAGGGCATTGCAAGTCAAACCTTGATAGAAGCATAGTTTCACAGTGCTCTAGAATCATTCTCAATTGATTTCACAATTTTTTCTCTTAGTCCCATCATTTCTTTATTTGATATCATGTATATGGTATCATCCTTCAATATGCAATTATAATAACATTCTTGATAACCTTCTAGTGTTAGTACAAAAAGTTGAGATATAACCTTCTTCACCTTGCTTCCCAATTGAGATCTGGTTGCTCCTTAAGCTAGGAGTTTGCCTCACATATCCACATAGCCTTTTTACCAGTCTTGATTTGCACATCATTAACATTTATCGTTTCATCATCAGTAAGATAAGCCTTCACAGAATAGTTAGTGGTAAACTCTAATTGGAGTGTAATGAAATAACACACTGGATATACGATGCATGACTACATAAGATTATCTGCAGTAGGGACTAATGTATCTCTTCACTTGCAGCATTTATGAATTCCTTCATATGGTTTAAACTTTGTCCACCATTTCTTTGTGGACAATCTGTATTCATTTGGACAACCTTGCCACACAATTAGCATGCATCTCTACAAAATTTTAACTGTCCCATTTGCTATGATTTGGATCTATTATTATTGGCGTTCTTTGCATTTTTTTCACTATTTCAAGAGACACAGTAGCCAAAGAAAAACCTTCACCTATTTCTGAAAGAGATGTAGATATTAATTTCTCTAGTATGGATAATCTTTGATCTACATCTTGTAGTGCCTAAAGTTGTTTATGTTAAACATCCCATCTTTGAACGCCATTGCTCTAACTTTTCCATTAGAACTCCAAAGCCCAACTCTAACACCAGTTGAAAATTGCACCTGAGAGCAAAGGCAAACCCAAAAATAGGAAGTAAAAAATGCTAGATGAAAACATCAAAATAGAAAGAAAACATAAGAAGTTCAGTGACATTCACTGATGTTCATAGTCGTGCTGAGAGATGGTTTTACTAGTCTAATGGTAAATACAGGATCACAACATTTATACTGTAATATTCCTTCCTTTTTTCTCTAGAATTCCCTATATCTTATTTCTTTCTTATTCCTTCAGTTCTCTATTTCTTTTTCTTTGATTTGTATAATGATTCATTCTAAGAAAACTTCTGAGAAACCCAACTGCAACCTCAGTTCTGCTCTTCATACCCAGTTTTAGGTTGCACTCGCACATGCCACCAATCTCCTTGCAAATTTACCATCAATAATTGCTCTGTCGACTACCAGAAATCATCTCATATTGCACATCTAACTATCTTTTTGGCCTCTAAGCCTCCTCACCAGATATTGTTTGAACTTGAACCTTCTCCAACTGACAGCTGGCAATCCCTACCACTTGCTACTGGCTCACACTAGAAATAGAGCTTCCTCTTGTTAGCTAGAAGAGCCTGTAACCCTCCACTGCATCAGGCATGCCTTGTCGTCACCTCGCTTCCTATCAATGGGCACTGCACCCATTGTTGTACACCTTTGTGCCATCCACAACTAGTATCTTCCCATTCTCAGCCTCGTTCAGGAACCCAAAGAGCATACCCTTGCGTTCTATACCGCACAGCTGCAACTATCTTTAGTAACTATTAAGAGGATGTGACCAAATCAATTTGATTTGGAGAAATTAATATGCAGAAATTAGAAGCCTGAATTCATGGATTAGATTATGAGGGAATGGAGGAAATTAATGCGTTACACGTCCTAAGACTTAATGGTTTTCTGAAGCTGTCAATGCCGCCAAGAGCCACCGGATCTAGGCTCCACATGGCACCAGCCACTTTGGGAAACTTGGATGAGGAAACTAGCAGAAGAGGGTGTGCGCTCTTCAATTTTTACTGAGACTTCTCATCCATGCAGACATAAAAATCCTTTATAGAGATGAAGAAGTTGGTGGTTCCAGATTGGTAACGAACAATCTTTGTTATTATCTGCAAGATATGAAGAGCTGGATTTTGTTAAGTTCTTGATAGGCAGTTGATGGTGTAGAAGTCTGTTTGCAACAGATTATTTTACTTGAAAATCGACATGAAATTCAGTCTTAAATCAAGATGACATTTTTCCAGGGAAGCCTTAGGAAATTAAGTTCCACGCCTTAACAGTTGTATAATAGTTTCCTGAGTCTTTCCAACAGTTATATACTTATTAAAGCTTGATACTCCTTTGTAAGTTACTCTGCTATCAGAATACTGAATACAGTAGAATTTGCGCTTTGTTTGGCATTTCTTGAGATGTCGCTTCTTCCTCCATGAAAATAGCTTGGTTGTTGGTATGATTTGACACCTCAGAACATAATTATATTAACCAACATTATTTTTTACTATTCTGTTATGTGCTGATCAAAATTCAGTCTCTGCAACTTAAGTCATTCTCTTTGATGAGTTATGCTTCTGTCAGTTTTGTGCAAAAGTTTTTGCATTGATTTTTATTTGACCTAAGTTCATTCTTTTGGAATTTTCTGTTTTGACAAACTCTTAAGCGGCAACCTTTTAAATGAATTTTTCTATTGAACAAATCCCAGTGATGCTACTGTTGGAGATGGCTTTCAGTTTAAAATTGAAACTGCGTTGGAGTTTTACATTTTTCTTCTTTGATAATTTAGCTTTTTCTTTTTGCATTCTTCTCTTAAAAAATACCTGGTTTCCTCTCAATTGACTTGTGCTCTTATCAAGCCTCCTATATTCCTTATTGGCATTCACAAGTAATCTTATGAAATGGATTCTTTGGCGCAATTATTGTTTTCACACTTCAATTTCTTCGAGTGAATGACAGAGAGAACAAGAACTTGACTGGGACAGCAAGATATGCAAGCATGAATACTCATCTTGGCATAGGTATGAATAAACAAGAACTTGGAACTAATCTGTCTTTTAAAGGTTCTTCGTTCTATTTCTCTTATTGTAGTATGTCCATGGGTTTGACTTCGTGCTCTTTCTTATTGCTATGCTGTTGGAACCCTAGAACAAAGCAGAAGGGATGATTTGGAATCCCTTGGTTATGTTCTGATGTACTTTCTAAGAGGAAGGTCTGGAATTCATTTTAAACTAATTTATGCTTTGTTGTCTTAGTTCCCTTGCGTGATCTTTTTGTTTGCCCTCAGTCTTCCGTGGCAGGGTCTCAAAGCTGGTACGAAGAAGCAAAAGTATGAAAAAATTAGTGAAAGAAAAGTCTCCACGTCTATTGAAGTAAATTTTGTCATTAACCAAATCTTTAAGCTTATGTCCATTATGTTCCCTAGAAGTAACCTAGAAACTGTTTTACTTCCAGGCTTTGTGTCGAGGATATCCTTCAGAGTTTGCATCTTACTTTCATTACTGCCGTTCACTTCGCTTTGATGACAAACCTGATTATGCTTACCTCAAAAGAATATTTAGGGATCTTTTCATCCGGGAGGGTAAATTTTTCTATCCATTTACAACTTGTCAGAGGTCCAGATTTTTCTGAAGCCCTATTATCTGATTGATCCACTTGTTGGATTAATATTTTCTGTTTATCGGGGAAGTTTAAAAGGAATTGTTTCCTGGGTTAAATTTTATCTATATCTTGTCAGGTTTTCAGTTCGATTATGTGTTTGATTGGACCATTTTGAAATATCAGCAATCACAAGTTAATACTTCTCGAGCTGTCGTAAGCATTTAGGAGATGCCACTTATTTTTAGTTATTTGTGTGGCCGGGTTGAGAAGATTTACTTATTTTCATTCCACTTTAGGGTCAAATTGCTGGGCCCAGCTCTGGTTTGCCACCAGCCATTGGAAGTACTGATAAGCATTCTGGTAATTGCTATGACGAAAAAATTAGTTTCATCTATTAAATTTTGTAGGCTTAAGAGCTTTAATGTGTTTGTTTTTTCTTTTATTATTATTATTTTTTTGATATTTTTCACCACTTAAGTTTTATTTTATTTTATTTCAATAGTTCTGTAGTTTATTATTCTATGTTGTGAAACAAAATAATACCCGGGAACTTATTGCCTTTGCTCTGGTTTGTTTTACAAAATATTTAAAAGTCCTGAAATTTGAGTATAGGTCATGTTTTAAGTGGCGAAGAAGCTAGGACAAGTGGTTGGTCTGCTATGGACCCATCTAGGCGGAGGGCTCCAGGACCACTAAATCAGGGAAGTGTTTCCAAACAGAAGAGTCCGGTGCCAAATGACTCTACTGGGGCCAAAGAAGCTATGGTGAGTTTTCTATTTACTTATGGTGAACGTAAATTTTAGGTAGTTGCTCGTTCCTATTAAAATAGCTGACTTCATAGTTGTAAGTGGATTCTTCTACCTATTCTAGAAGCTTTGCTGGATACAGTCGTTTGCTTATTTACAATTTATTTAAGATTTTCAAACTGATTTTATTGATGAATTTAAGTTTGATAGCTTCCGCATGTATCATTGATTAATTCAATTATAAAAAGTCACGGCGGTTTTTTTTTAATCTAAATTCAAAATATTTCGGAAGTGCTTGGTACCATTTAATAACATTGAATGAATAAACAACAGATAAATGGAAGAGGTTACCGACTCTTTGTGGTTTTCTATCGAAATTGTAATTCTTATATATTATCATATGATATCAATTTTTGAGTAGCCATAATTACACAGCTATATTTTAAAGCGTGACATCACTTATGTAAATATTAGTTACATAGTATTTTAGCCACTTAAATACATAAGCAGGGGCGGATCTATGGTTACCTGAATTGGCCACCCACAAAATTTCAATATATTAGTTATAGTAATACTATTTTCGGTATATATCCCCCAATAATGATCCTAGTTTGCCAAAATAAGAAAAAAAAAAGTTGTACCTGAGAATCTACAAATCCACGATTTTCTCCGACAACCCTAGTTCGATGAAATTAAAAAAAAAATACTTACAAGACTAGTAAGGTTGTTTCTGTCGTTCCCTATCCTACCTACGCCGACAAATCTGTGTTCTTTTTTGATCAAGTGAAAACCAGGAAGTTAAGAAGTTGCTGTGGATTCTTTATTTCCCAGAGTAGGTAAAACCATAAAAATCCGCAAGCCCTTTTAATATTTGTTTTTGGCAGCTTTTTTGATTTATTATACTTTCTTTTGGCCAGTTAAATATATATTTCAATATGAAGTTACGTTAAATGTATGGTTGAAAAAAATAATTATTAATGAAATAACTTAGATTAGAATATTGAATCCACGTTTTTCTTTTAGGTATATTTTAAGTATATTTCCCCAATCGACAAGCCTAGTTTGATGAAATTAAAAAAAAAAAAAACTTACAAGACTAGTAACAGTTGTTCCTGTCGTTCCCTATCCTACCTATGCCGACAAATCTGTGTTCTTTTTTGATCAAGAGAAAACCAAGAAGTTAAGAAGGTGCCGTGGATTCTTTATTTCCCAGAGTAGGTAAAACCATAAAAATCCCCAAGCCCTTTTAATATATATTTTTTGTAGTTTTTTTTGATTTATTGTACTTTCTTTTGACTAGTTAAATATATATTTCAATATGAAGTTACATTAAGGGGCTGTTTGGTTGTCTGAAAAGAAAATGCAGTGTAAAGCAAATGCAGTGTAAAGCAAATGCAGTGCATTCCAAATACTTTGAGACTGTTTGGTTGTCTGCAAAATAAACACAGGAGAATTGTTTCCCTTGTTTGGTTAGGTAGAACTAGAGTAAAGTAAAAGCGGTTTTTTTGTAATAATTTATTTTGGCATTACAACTAGTGTATTTATATAAGCAGTATATTGATAATAATTAGTATTATTTTGGGGTTATAATAATAAAAAAATCTAAATGCAATTAAATTCAATAAAAAAAGCTCAAAATCTTTTACATTGTAGCCCTAATGAAGCCAGATGCCGACGGTATAGTCTTGCATAACATTAGATACAACACAACTAGCTTGCAAAAGAACATTGCAAAGGGACTACAAAAATTGGGCAACAATAATGCCAAAAACACAATATGAACCTTAAAACAAAAAGTATTCAGAAAGGAATAAAAAATGAAAAACACTCCCACTAGACCTATAAAAAGGCAGCAAACCCATCTATTATACTGACACAATAAATGCTCATGTAAAATAAAGATGACCGGGGAATACAAACAACAACAACAAAATCTACAATGTTCATACACCCAAATACATAAAAATTTGATCCCACTTAAAATTCATTAGCTCAAATATTATGATCATATCTGGCCCCATCCAATTAGAAACCACAATGAAGACACTAAGGAATGAGTTATACCAACCAATAGTGTAAACAGTAAGAGCAACAATAGAGATACTAATATTCTTAGCTAATTGAAATTGGCATAACAAAGCCCATAACTTAGTGCACAGCCAGGTCCTCCAAAAAAAATCTAGAAATTATAGATCTCGAAACTTCTTAGAAAGAAATGGTCAACTGGAGAAAGCAGGAATGGCTGAGCAGCAACACAGATCCTTCAAACTCAGTCACAGAGAGAGTGAACAATTCTACGATTTAACTGAGCATCAACCTATTCTTGAAGATCAGGAGGTTTCAATCTGCTCCTCTGATTATAATTTGGTTTGTAGAGAGCCACCAAATGTGCTTGATGAGAATGATATAGAAGAACTCTGTAGAATCTTATCCTCCTCAACGAATAGTGATCTTTTGCTACAAACACTGGATAGAAGCACTATTACTTTCACACCTAAACTTGTAGAGGTAATTCTGCGAAGATCTCAGAGACATGGCAGTTCTACTTTGCAATTTTTCTCTTGGGTTGGTAAACAGCCTAATTACACCCATAACACTAAAACATAAAATATGGCTATAAAAATTGCAGACAGTGGGAAGGATTTCAAGCATATGAGAACTCTTTATCACGAAATGAGGAGAAAGACCTTGTTCTATAGAGCCAAATACATCGACGATCATGATATCCCAGTATGGCCAAGCAGGTTTAACAGAGATTGCTTTGAAGACCTTCAAAGAGATGAAAGCTGAAGGTTATCAACCAAATGTTGGTACATTCAAGTATCTGATTGTTTATCTTTGTGGAAAGAAAGGTCGAAAGATAGAAGAGGCAATCAAAGTATTCCAAGAAATGTTGGCTTCAGGCTATATTCCAGATAAAGAGATTGTCGACATTTTTCTCTCTTCTCTGTGTGAATCAAGGAAATTTTCAGAAGCAAGAATAGTAGTTAATTCTTTATGTAAGAGAGGGTTCCAAAACCAGATTGCTTATTCTTTGCTCATCAAGTCTTTATGCAGGGCAGGACAAGTTGAAGAAGCCATTGTTCTAACAGATGAGTTTAGATAAGCTGGAAGAAATGAAAAGAGCTGGAATTTCACAGTCAGTACATATAAATACATCATTGATTGTCCATTTTTTCAGAAAGAAGCATAGCAAAAAGGCATTGGAGATATACAAGAAGATTAAAGGGCCCTTCCCTGATTTTCAGACTTACTCGATGTTCATGACTTGTCTCTGCAAACAAGGAAGGTCTGCAGATGCATTCAAGCTAATTCAAGACATGCTGGAGAGCCAGGTCATCCCTAGCGCAGTCAATTTTAGGACTGTTTATTATCCAGTACCTTTTGTATCTCGGAAACTCTAATCACATTGTGGTATGATGATCTTCTAATCTGAAATCGAAAAGAAACAAGTCAATTGCTACCTCTTCCATTGGTAGCGTTGGCTTCGTAATACACCACGCTACCTGCTGCCTGCGATGGATCTGGATTTTCAAATCCTATACCAAACATCCCCTGAAAGAAAAGATTGGAATAATAGAAAGTCGTTTGCTCTCACCATTCCAGAAGATGAGGAATCAAATTTTCAAATCCCCATCGGGTTAAAAAAGAAGAAAACCCATAACTCAGTACTCACTGCATATTGAAAAATATTTTTATCTTCAACTTCCAGAAGAAAATGATTCACACTGAATCATTATTTTCCTTCCGACGAATCCAAAACTTGGCCGAAGTAGAAACACAATACTTTTATTGGAACCGAGTGGAACCACAACCTCTGGAGTCGTCTCAGCTGACGAAATAGCAGAATCCACAGAAGAAACCGTGGTGGGTACAGGAAACTCAGCTGATTCATTCTCCGATATCCCATTGTGTATCTGGACGCTCTTCTCAAAAGCCTTACTGAGAGAAGACAAGCCCGAGGCAGAGGACGACGACGATGGAGTCGGTCTCTCCTGCTGGGGCGGCATTGCACCGCACCTACCGAATTATGGACCGCGGCTGCGAGTTTCACCTCCGACGAGGCCTCTGTTGCCGCTGCGACCTATGCTTCTCCCTCCACGCTCGCCAGAAGCAGGTGGTTGTTGATCTCTCTCCATAGAAGCCACCGCGGTGGTCACCTCGCCGAGACTTTTTCTTCGCGCGAGGATTTCTAAACCGCTCAATTTGAGCGGGTTTCAAAGTCGCACGAACCGCCGGTCGTAATGCACAACTAATGCTTCGGAGGAATTACTTACGTTCCGCTCAAAACCAACCAAACGACCTAATTTATGGAATGCACGTAAATAAATTACTTTACCCTCCTAATTCTGCATATCAAACAGCCCCTAAATGTATGGTTGATAAAAATAATTATTAATGAAAGTAACTTAGATTAGAATATTGAATGCACAATTTTCTTTTAGGTATATTTTAAGTATATTTCCCCAAACGACAACCCTAATTTGATGAAAAAAAAAAATACTTACAAGACTAGCAATGGTTGTTCCTGTCGTTTACTATCCTACCTACGCCGAGAAATTTGTGTTCTTTTTTGATCTTGCGAAAACCAGGAAGTTAAGAAGTTGTCGTGGATTCTTTATTTCTGCGAGTAGGTAAAACCGTAAAAATCCGCAAGCCCTTTTAATATATTTTTTTGGCAGCTTGTTTGATTATTGTACTTTCTTTTGGCCAGTTAAATATATATTTCAATATGAAGTTACGTTAAATATGTGGTTGACAAAAATAATTATTAATGAAAGTAACTTAGATTAGAATATTGAATCCAACAGATTATTATTTTAGCATTAACTTTACCAGTTGCTATTGCTACAGTGGAAAGTGCATTTTCTACAATGAGAATTATTAAATATCAATTGCGTAGTAGGATGCGTGATGATTGACTCAACGACTGTCTTACATTGAAAAAATTATTTGATTTGATTTGTAATGCAACATTATCAAACAATGCAAAATCGATTGATAAACTTGTAATCATTTTTCAATTTATCAATCATAATGAAATACAAATTTTTTCTTTGAATTATGTATTTTTTGTTTATTTTAAATATTAATTAATTTATATGAAAAATTTGTCCACCCTGAAATGAGGGCTAGTTTCGCCTTTTTTTTTTTAGTTTTGCCCTTTATAAAAGATCATAAGTAGCTAGGGTTGTAAAAGAAGCTTGTTTGTGTTCAATTGTGTTTGACTTATTATGCTTATATATATATATATATATAGTTCCGCGCGCACCTTGGGAGTCGGAGGTTGCAGTGGGATAGGTAGGCAGATAGGCGAACAGGCGAACAACTATTAGGATGAAAAAGTAAATTTTTTTTATTTAACCGATACTTAATGCATAATAAATAATATTAATTACTTGCTATTTTCAAAATCAGTGGGGGCCCGTGCCCCCACACTGCATCCACCCCTGTATATGTATGACTTTCAAGTAGATTTTATATTCTAGAATAGTTCAGCTCGGTAGGTTAAAGACTCAAACACAAGCATAAAATTTTGTATCATTTGCTAAACAAGCCAAGTCGAATAACACTTGAGCTCCTTCAAATTTAGCTTGTTCAAGTCTTTTAATACCACTGTTAGTTATTCCATAACGCTTGCTCAAGTATTTCTTAAGGGGAGTATTATGATTTCCTATGTAGTTATCCAGTTCAAATTTCTTGGTACGGCCAAGCAGTTCCTCAAAACACGCTGCTGTTTCTAGCAGCCGAGACATGATGTTGAGTAGCGAATCAGATCCACCCTACACCCGCACCTCTGATGCGAGTCCTGGAACATTTTGTGGAGTCTCTAGTACTCAGAAAAGTCCTCCCCTCGGATCGGCAGATCCCAAACTGTCTAATTCTGGCAGACATTATTATGAGTCCACTCTTAAAGGCATTGAGTGTCTCAATTTCGACAATGATGAGAGAATTCACTACTAATAATTGTGCTCCTGCTACACTTCACACTGTAAAAATGATATTTTGTGGCTAGAGTACAAGTTTAGTTTGCACTCAAGGTTGCTATATTAGAGCCGAGAAGATACAACGGAAAAAGTGTGCTAGAACATAGATGGATAAGCATTTCGTCTGCCATGGTTGTTGGCCTAAGGCAAAGCCAATCTCATGATTTATGTAAGCAATCAACAGGGCCCCACTTTCGCTCGCTGTTCTTGCCATCATTTGATTTTCTATCTTGGTTGCTATATTTTTAAAGCCAAAACTGTATGTTAACCAGCTTTTCGCGTTTAGCAGTCACCTACGTATGGGAACTATCTGAATCCTCAACGTAGTAGCAGTCGGTTGTTCGGTACTGTTGCTGTGCATAAATAATGATTAAATGTTCTGAACAGCTGAAGTTTGTTCTGTTTTTTCTCATCTGGTGTTAAACTTTTGGAAACCAGCCCTTGTTGATCTTTATTTTCTATTTGTTTCTATTTTGCTGCTGCATGGTTTGTTCTGTTAGTAAATTGACGACGAATTTGTCATTTAACAACGTTTGGCTTTGTTCATTGGGAATTAGATTCAAGAACCAATTAGTTTGATTCTCTGATGAGGGTAGGGTAAAACTTTATCTGCTCAAACTTTTCTCTAACGTCAGCGTTTGCTTGACAAAAAAAATTTTTTTAAACGATTTTTTTTTGGATTTTCTTTATTTTATTTTTTTATTATTTTTTTAGTAAGAAGCAGCTTTTTATAATCAAGTATGTATGTTGGGGTGTTGTAGCCGCAAGAAAGCTTATGCTCATCTTTTTTAAACAAAATATATAATACTCTAATAATTTTTTAAAAACTTAATTTTCTCAATAATTGTCAACATAAACAAATGCTGAGTAAGATCGAAGTATATGGGCTTTAAAAGGTTGTTTGTTTTAATAAGCAGGATGATTGGAAAGTAATTAACGATAAAGCTTGCTAATTACACAAGTGGTGGAACCCATTGTAAGTTTGTAAATTATTTTTAGGATTACTGTAGGAGTTATCTGATAGTTATTTTAGACTTCGTGATTAATAATAATGTTTAACCCTCAAATACCTTTCCATTGTTTTTTATAACCATGTTGAAACAGTAAGCCTATTTGTCAAGTAATGTTGGGTAAGACCAAAGATCATGTCCTACAAGATTTGAACTCATTTTTTATAATTTGGCAGCAGTTGTAAACTAATTTATTAACACGTTTGTTCATAATACTTGAATCTATATCATCGTATAATAAGGAAAACTAACGAGTGATCAAATGAACTTCTCGGATTAACCCTTAGACGTATTTTTTTATTTTTATTTACCTGTATAATTTCATAATATATGAGCGTAATTGCATTATAACAAAATTTTTAATTATTTCAATAAAAATAAATTTCCAAATCAACGTAAAAGCTTATGCCTCTATTATTTGCTGGCAAAAGAAAATAAATCAACATCATAAATTATTTATGAGTGGATAATATATAAGTTATGATAATTTTTTTTTATAATTTTCTTAAAAGGTATATTAAAAATTAATTTTAATAATAGATAAAGTTCCTCATTTAACCAGCCACTTGATATTGGCATGGATTTTTTTATAACAAGTAATTATAAATTATTAAAACAAATCCCAAAATTTTAAACAATTTTCAAAGTAGTCTAAAATTATTATTTATATATTTCGTTTAATGGGTGACTTGATTGGCACCTCTTGCTTATTTTTAAATTTTGTTTTTAATATTTTTTAAATAATTAAAATATTTTTTATATTTATTTTTAAAATTTGTCTTTTTTTAGTTTTATGGTTTATATGAAAAATAAGTTAAAGTTGAATGATGTTAACTATTAACATGGCTATATTTTGATGATCTTTGATAGTCACCAAAAAATATTTTGATCAAGTGTGAATCTTGGGCATATTTGAATTGAAAACTTTCAAAATTAAAGTACAGATAATCCTAACTCTGATTTCAACAAATTTATAGTTGAACTGAACATCTCAAAATGACACCAATCAACAGACAACAAAATCGGTCCAATATGAGCCATCCGACACCACGATTCATCCGATCGTTGTTGCCCAACTACAGTCCCTCCGACCATTATCACTAAATTACCGTCCCTCTATCCACCATCACTTGACTATGGTCTCTCTGGCCACATTTGTTCGACTACGGCCCTTCCGACCACCATCATTTGATTATGATTCCTTCGACTACTGTTACCAGGGGCGGAGCCAGGATTTTTTTGATGTGGGGGCACAAATCATTGAAATAAAAAAAATTTTCTCAACCTTTTTCATCCGAGCTTTAGACATGCATTAGCGGGGTTTTTTTGTTGAATTTTTATACTAGAAAGCTGATTTAAGAAACATTAAAAAAGACATGCTAAACGAAGCCTAAATTCAATTCAATTATTTTACTCACACATTTTCATTTTCTCTTTCAATTCCTTCAACCTTAACAGAGCCTAAATAAATGAGCAAACACAAGAGTTTTCTCAAATAATAGATATACTTTTCTCAAGAATTGTTTTAAAATTTTTTGAAATTATGACATTAAATAGTGCTAATTTTGATATAACTATATAAGAGCAAAATCGGTTGCTTAACAAATTAACAAATGATTGATGAATGAAAAAAAATCGAGAAACAAATAAAAATTGCACACCTTGGATTTGCCTTCACCGCTCTCTGAATTCTAAATACCTAAACGGCTTCCTTGTGTTTGGAACGGTGATCCCGTCCGATTTCGTGATGGATTTCGTCGGAATCAGAATCGATGGATCAAGAAACTCCTCAAAACCATTGGCACGAGTTATCTTAAGGATTTGCGATCGCCATACTGAGTAGTTATCAGTTGAGAGAGGAGATTGTACAAAGTTCTTGAGATTGCCAAGAACAAATTTGTGACAATCTGAGGCAATACCAGGAATAGTCCCTTCATTTCTTGAGGCGCTGCTGCTACTGAGGCAATACCAGGAATAGTCCCTTCATTTTGTGGCAATCCAGCAATAAAAACTCCAGGAGTCAGTGGGGCTTCAGGCATCGTGTAACCACTCATTGGTCGGCTAGTGAGTAGAGGAGGTCATCGGACTTCCTGGCTTCTGGTTCAAGACTTCGGCTTCCATCTGTGCGGTATGCGCAGCCTTCCACTAAGAGTTCAAGTATTAGGGCTTCCCCAAGAGCAAAAGACGGAGGTCGTCCGACTCATCGGTTTCACGAATGAAAAGCAGAACGCGCGTTCGGGCTTTCGCGAAGAGCCGAAGACGGAAGGTCATCCGTTTGATGCGTTAAAAATAGAAGGCGGGATTGCGATTTGGGATGAAAAAATAAATCTAATATTACTATTTTAATTTAATATGTAATAAATGAGTAATAAATATACTTAATTAGAAATTACTAATACAGTTAGTGGGGGCATGTGCCCCCAGTGCCCCCATGCTGCATCCGCCCATGACTGTTACCTACTATGATAAAGTGATAAGACACTTTCTTGTATTATAAATTATCAAAATAATTAAGATGTTCCCTACCAAAAAAAAGTCCATTAATGTTGTGTTTAAAATCATTAATGTTTTTTGTGCATGAAAATAATAATGCATACAAAACAATATACAATCAAGTCTAGCTAGTTAAACCCAATAGTTTGCCCAGCAGAGAAGATTCCACATAATCCATCAAATTGCAACCTAAATCACCAGCAGTTTTTCCTTCCCTATAAATGTGAGATATAAAATAATTGATAAATTACAATCACTGTTTTTCTTTCTAATGATATAGAAATAAAAAGGATTCGTAATATAATTATCACTAATGTAATGAATCACAAGCATAGCATCCATCTCAATCCAAACATTAGTAATCCCTAAGGATAAACATAAATGTAAACCATACTTTAAGGCCTACATTTCTGCCATGATAGCAGTATTGGCATCCCCAAGACCAGCAAAAGCAACAATTACATGACCAGAAGAATCACGAATAAGGCCACCACAACCAGCTTTCTCATGTTTGTAAGAACCGTCACCATTAAGTTTGTAACAACCCACAATGAGTTTAATCCACTTAACCATATTATCTCAAGAAGAATGGCCATAGTTCTCGACAGGAATACCAAAAAACTTAAGCATACAAGAACATCCTTTAAAATAACTTAAATTAATCAAATTTGCTAATTATAATTGCCTAACTTTGTCTTTAATCCTGGTGATAATGGTCGAGGCATTCATAGTAATGTTCTCATGCTTAGCCTCATTCCTACTTTTCCATAGAAACCAACATATTATAATGGGTAAAACATTATGAATATGTTTCTCAGTAGGGACCATCCAATTTATGCATGACGCTAATAATGTTGTTGTACATCTTACAAAATTGGAAAACAAAAATATTGTCAAAATATAACCAAACTTTAAGAGCAATGGGACCATTAGCAAAGACATGATTTAAATTTTCAATATGATAACAACATCGACATTTGAATACAATATAAAAATTTTTTTTCCTCAAGATATCGTTAACATGCATGTAATTGTTAAAGATTAGCCAACATAAAATAGAATAGAAAATTATAATACCTTTTTGCCGAATGGAGGATAAAATCTACGAATAAGGGTGAACAATCCTAATAAAATTCCAAACCATTTTAAGCACAAAGCTCCCATCATTGGAATTGGTAAATAAGATAGTATCTTCCTGATCAAGTTGTAAAGGGACTTTAAGGATAAGATTGATGACAAAATCAAGAACAAAGTCAGCAAGTTAATCTACATTCCAAGTTCCCTCATGAATAAAATGAGAAACTTTACAAGAATTAATAGTATGAGTGTTGAACAACGAGTCAATAGAAGAAAAAACTAACCAATTATCTTGCCAAAAAAAGATTTCACCCCTCCCCAAACCCCATTGAATGAAATTTTCAGCATCCCATTTAATGGAATAAAGCCTTTTCCAGTTGAAAGCATCACCTTTTTTGAAAAAGTAGTTAAGAGGGTGTTTGCTAACACAATACTTAGAGATCATGAACTTAGACCAAAGGCTCTCCTTACATCTTAAATTGAACCACATTTTATAAGAAAAAATAAGAACCATGTCATCCAAGTTCTTAAAACCTAACTTACCTTCATCATTCATACTGGAACATCTGCCAAGAAGCCCAAATAATAGCAGATTTACCTTCTTTGGCACCCCAAAGAAATTTGTTTAAGATTTTTTTGAGCCTATTGCAAGTATTCACAGTCAGAGATAAAGTATGAAATATGTAGATAGGAAAAGAGCAAATAACCCTTTTAATCAACACTAATCTACCCCAAAAAGACAAGAAATTAATCACAAGTAGATAATTTTTTGAATTTTAGAGAAAATATCCCCAAATAAATGTGATATCTTTTTACCCTTAAAAAGAGGAGTGCCTAAGATTTAAGAGGTAAATGCTTATGCCAAAAACCAAAT